CTGGCAGCAAATTCCAGCATTTGACAACTCTTAAGGAGTAGAAGTTGTGTCTGCAGTCCGTTCTACTATGTTGTATCTCTAATTTCTGGGTGTTACCCCTTAGGTTAGTATTGGGACTAAGCCTAAGTAGGGGTTTAAGAGGATGTCCAGAAGTGTTAAGGATACTGTAAGCCATTAGAAGGTCACCTCTAAGATGCCTATACTCTAAAAAGTAAAGGTTAAGTGAATGGAGGCGCTCTTCATAAGGTTTGAATTTGAGTCCCTCAACTGATTTCGTGGCTCACCGTTGGATACGCTCCAGAGTGTCCTTATAATAATAACATAGTTGACTAGGTGGTCCGTATGTTTTTGCTTGTAATTTAACTGTCTTGATCATAGGTGTTCTCAGAAAAGGAAATGTCAGGAGCACGTGATAATCAAGAAGATATAAGGTGATTCTCATTTGAATAAAAATTCGAGCAGTAGTCGCTATTCATCTGCTCTCATTAGTTGGAATAACTCTAATTACCATATTGCCGTCACAATGGAGCTGGTGATTGTGCAGTTAAATATACATTCAGACTCTGAAGCTTTCGAGGATTACACGGAAAAATGTAAAATCTTGAGTATGATCAGGAATAATATTGGATACTCTCCAGAGTGTCCTTATCCTTTTGGAGTGTAGGAGGGAATACTATGTTTCCGTACTCTAAATGGGGACGAATGAAACTATTGAAGATTATGTGGAAAGTTCTCCCGTCAAACTGACCAAAAATGCGCTTCAATGTTGACAGTGCCAGGTTTGCTCGAAAAGCATTTCTGTCACAGTTGGCGTAAGACTTTTCGCCGTAGGGCGCGAGGACTCCTAAATCTTTTTCGACTCGTGATACTAGTAGAGACAAGTTTCCTAAGTTGTAACAGTAGTCTGCGACGTGTCGAAGATGGAAAAATAAGGTGGCGACATAAAATTACGTGAAAACATTTTCGTGGTTCGAATCAGAATGTTGCGTAATTTTCTATCGGGAGCCATATAGGCGCTTTCCTCAGGCCAATCCTTCAAAAGATTGCTCGAAGTCTAATTTAGCTCAGAAGATACTAAAAAGATTACTATAAGTGATGTTCGTTGATCGCCAGCATTATTAACTAGATTGTTTGACCATCTTTTTCTCGACAATCAAATTTCTAGGATTATTTGGTTTGATTTTCGCAAGTGGCTCAACTTGTTGTTTGAAGCTTTCACTTGTTTAAATTGTTGACGAAGTCTTTACAAAGTATTTATAACATATCGTGCTCACTTGCTGTTTCAATTGAGATCAATAAGAGTGTCTCTTCGTTCTGATTGATAGTTCGCGGTAAGCTTCTTGATTTATTTTTAAGGTGTTTTTATCATTTTTCATTCGATAATCAGGAACGGTCTTGATCACCAGACTGTGTAAAGTTTCCATGATTGAAAAGTAGTAATCTGAAGTGTTTTTTTTTCTTTGTAAATGTAAAGCAGTGCAAGAAGTTTCAAAAATTTGTATTTGATGCATCAACCTTCGAAAATTTCTGAAACGATTTTTCACTGCAATTGAGAAGGCTTGTAAGATGTCAGATCATTTAGCGGCTAGTCAATCATCATAGGTGTATACAGTGTTTCTGTTTGAAAATAATAGAATGAAGGAGCAATTAGACGCTAATATTCGACAAACTGCTGTTAATACTTTGTCCAGATAAATAATGGTAAGGCCAACAAAACCAATAGTATAAATAATGAAGTGAAAATATCAACTTGAGATTTAGGCGGCATTATCTTAGTATGTAACATGCAAGTTCAGTATATATGGGAGAAGGTCCGTTGTGCAGCGTATTGAGACGTTCAGTGGGGTTGAGTGAACACAACTGCACTGAACAAATATTGTCTTTAGTCTTCGGTAATAAGGATAGCTGGTTAACTGACCTGTGTTAATTCTTGGATGTTTTTCTAGTTGTGATCCAGCTTCTCAATATAAGTGTTCACTGAAGATGCTGACACCATTTCTTTAGACAGAAAATTTCAATCATTATCATTTCGATGAGAAAAAATGGAGTCGTGCGCTGACTTTATTCGGTATCGGTTTTTGAAACTTTGATTAGTGGCTTCAGGGATGGTTATTTCTGGCGAGGACAATTTTTTTGTTTACAAAGCATGTCTAGGCGGACGTTTTGGATCGTTTACGACTTGTCTCTCTTTATTATGTTCATCAGTTTGGTGTCTTGAAATATGTGTTCAGTAATAACATCATATTCGTTAGGTCAAGCAACCTACTTTTGTTCTAACAATCTGCAGTGCTGTGAAGATCTGATTTCTTTGGATGTTGCAAAGTGAGGCTCTGATATTATGTGTTCTGATAGAGAACTCAGGAACTTACGTCTCGATGTAAGGAATAACTTTACAGACATAGGCGTTTCTATTTAGACTTCTGAGATTCCGAGTGCGTTCTCGCAGACAATAAGCCTTAAATGGAAGGAAAAGACATGATAAAACATCAACTGCGTTATCATCTTTTCAGATATTTAGAATCTATCAGGTTTTCTAGTTGCCTGAGTAAACGTTTGTTTTGAGAAGGATTACAGAAGACAAACGATAAAAATTCTAATGTCACCTTGTTATATCAAATTGATACACCTTATTTGCATCATGACTTTATTTCCCCAACAAAGACTAGTCACATGGCCTGCCTCTCTAAAGCCTAATTAAATAAAATTTCAAGATATTGTTGGCATCATTCTTGCGATTTGAATCGATAATTTTATTCTGTTGGCCTATTGTAGTGTGGCAAATTAATCCAGCCCATATGTGTGTGAGTTTCTTTGTCGTGTATGACTAACTAGTTAATTAAATGTATTGTGCTCAAAAAGATTTTCAGCCGGTAAATATACTGTAATGTTTTGTCCGAAAGTTTCTTATTACAAATCTATTTAAAGTATGAAACGTCTTGGTACATGATACTAATGATTAGTAGTACCAGAACTGTTGTGCATATTGATGCCAATGGATATCCGGCTTGTAAACGTTTACTCATATGAGTTGCATTAAAGAACGTTTTGTTTGTTATATGTCGAGATACCTATAATTTTCGCTTAAAAATGGACGAGTAGATGATGGAAACCAACCAACTAACCGCGAAATTAGTTATGATCCGCATTGCAGTTAGTACTTCTAGGACACTACTCACATGACAACTAGTACTGTTAAACGACTGGATCTGAAAACATGCTCAAAAGCGTTTGGGTAAGCTTAGATAGTGACTAGCGGTGCAATGTTAAAAAATGTTTTTCGATTTATTTGGAACTCATTTGCTGAAAGTTTCTGTATCTCAGTATTGAAGCTTACACTGAGATTCTTACCTGGCTATTTTCAATCCAAATAGCTAGCACTTCTTATTTTGGATAGATATAAAAGAGCATAATCAAAATTCGGTCCCCAGCACCGAGAAAAAAAGGTTCATACCCTTACAATTAAACCAAAGTATTTTGAAAATGGGCTAAAAACTTGCATGTCCAGTTTTTGTTATCATTACTTAAATAATACATTATAACTGATAGCTATTAACTTGGCTTAAAATTATCTGTATAACTTTCACATAGTTGTGCTGAGTGGTTCAAAATTATTCGACGAACTGAGTTTTTTGAGACTTGGGTCAACTGATTATTAGTGATTGAGAACAACAGGACGCGCCTTTTTATCGAGAGATATTTTCGATAACTGAATGCACTGGTATGGCCGAAATTATGGTGGGCCCCCCCTTCCTCTCGAAATGTTCTCACATGGCCACGCGTATACAGCCTCTGTCCTACTCACTGCCTTCTCGCACCACGGCTGTTGTTTACGAAATTAAGAGGACAAAAAGCGAATGTCCGGCGCTATAACCGGATCCCAAACCAATGGTGCACATGCGCTCCAGTATTCTGAAAGAACAAATGGCGTATGAACCAATTTCTTGGTCAACGGCTACCATGGGACTGCATCTCCTCTCGATACACCACTGTCTTGTGGATCAGACCTTTAGGTCCAAGGCTCGGAGTGTGGTCCCCTAAGAAAACCACCTACTTCCGCCTGAGCACCCGGGCAGTATCGCATCCCACACACAAATCAAATGATATTTGTGTGACGCATATGTATTTGGTACCTCCTTGTACCAATATTTATGTGTTCAAATAAATAAATAATAAATTCGACAACCATGATCCTGCAATTGTTCGACAAATTATCTGTCGAAATACAAATACATTCAATTTATTTTAGTAGGATATGTTTTATTTCAAAAAATAGTTAGCCTGAACTTGGCAGTATTTCCTCACTTTTTGTATTGATGAATTGTACAAGCGTTAGTGTGACTAGATGAATTAAAAAAGCGGTTGTCTTTGGAAAAACAACCAATTTATTTAAACTGAGATTTTTTAGCGTAATTTGATTGTATTACAGACTATATGTAGCTTCTCATTCATATTCTGGTTGAATGTCAAAGTGTATGGCTAAAGATATGTTGGCTCAAAATCTTACCATAAATATCTGGCTTAGGTTTCACTAACTTGATGTTATAATGTCCCTATCGTCTTTGATTCGATCGCACTTGCATGGCCGGGTTGTTCAAAACCAAGGTGGAAATAGGTGTCGTTACCAAGATATATATTATTTTCGTAATATGCCAATGAGTAGAAAAATTTTGCCTGACGTTTCGAGACACAGTGTAAGCCGCTTCTTCAGAAAATAAATAACCAAATCAAAATTAATCCAAGTTTAAATAGTAAAAAGGAACAACGAAAAAACATTATGTGCGATCAATCAAATAACAGGTCTGTACATGTCAATCATTTAACTTGTTCAGACCTGTTTTTTGATTGAAAGTTAATCTCACTTTACTTTGTGAATGTTAAATCACTGAAAGCCATATAATTGAAGTTAAACATATTTTATAACGCGTTATTTTATTTAGAGTCGTTTGATCACTTTATACTACTGGAAATGCAAATTATAATGTATTTTATTTTGTAGTGGTATGGCGAAAAACAAAAAGTTGGACGACGACGTCACCGTTATCGTAGATAAACCAGATGATGTAAAACTGAAGCGATCTATCGGTATTGTAACCAGTATCACCATCATAGTAGGATCAATGATTGGTTCAGGAATATTTGTCAGTCCTACTGGTATTTTGCTGAATGTTAGAAGTATAGGAGCTAGTCTAATTATATGGGTTGCATGTGGGATCTTCAGTATGCTTGGAGCGTACTGTTATGCAGAGCTTGGCACAATAATAGAACGATCCGGAGGGGACTATATTTATGTGTATGAAGCATTTGGATCATTTATTGGATTTTTGCGTTTATGGGTGGAAGTAATGGTTGTAAGACCTGTAGCAATCGCTATTGTGGCTTTAACATTTGGGGAATATGTTGTTGTACCTTTGTATCCAGACTGTCCACTGCCATTTACATTGATCAGGATTTTGGCAGTTTTATGTATTAGTATGTCTAAGAATATTTTCCTACAGCGTTTTTCCTAATTTATTCATCAAGATGTGCTCAAATATATACTCAACCAATATTAACTGTGATGCACTCTAATGGATAAAATGCACTGTTTGTATTTTCGATAAGCGAAGAATGAAGGCAGTTGTTAAGATGAAGATACTCGACATAGATCTTTACTTAGTACAGATTTATAACATAAAAATGATAAACACTGTTTGGTGAGAGTGAAACAGTACTGCTAAACACAACTCACTATTAAGTAGCTACTTCTTTCCTGAAAGTGGATGACCTGAATCGTTGCATCAAAATTCGTTTATTCTTTAAATTTGAATAGGGTATAATGACATCTGGGAGAAATACCATATATCCTGATTGTTTTCGACATTGTCGTCAAATGTATATGATCTGTAGGGATTTTAACACACAACATGTACGACAGAAGAATGATGAATGAAATTATTGGTGGACTAAAACCAGTAAAATTGAATGAAAGTTGTTTGAGTGATGAGTAATAAGTGCAGAAAAGTGTCAAAATGTGAATAAACGAAATACGATTCAGAAAGTGAAAAACTGACGACAGTTAAATTATGGGTTGTGAGTGAATAAAGAAGAAATGAGAAGTGTTAATTTCTCATGACTGTGTGTCTTCAATCGTAAGTTATGCTTTTGATAGATTTGTGAATTGACAAAACTCTAATCATAATTAATCCCAGATGAATTGAAATGTATCACATCAGCAAACACTTTTGTTTCTTTTGACACTTGAAATACTTTGATTATTTGGTTTGTAGTTTTCATTACTTCTGGCAGTTATCAATCTGTAACTTCACTGAACTGTTTGGAATCAATAATATATTCTACTCATTGTTTACATAATAAATGGGTCGTTTATTATCTAATTAGTTGTAAATTGAAAGTATCAGTTGAATCGATGCGTGATAAATTAATTTGATGATAAGATACTGGAAGAAATTCACTTAGAAGAATGTTATGTAGTTTTTTCATTGGTTGAGATCATGAGTCAATTGAAGCTAGACCACCATGGAAAACCCGAAAGCATTGAACGGTCGTTTCGTCCTAGTATAGGACTCCTCAGGATTGAGCATCCACGTTCCCGCCTCACGATGTTCGACCCCAGGAGCTATCGGTCTCGAGCGCGAGTGCTTAACGACTAGACCACTGAGCAGGCCGTTATCCAACGGTGTTAATGTCTAAATTCAACCAATCCACGAATTTGAGCGATGCATCCACCATTGTTTTCAGTGTTTTACTCCCTCACAATAGTTTGTCTTTTCACTATTACTCATGATTTTTCATGTGAAAATGTTTAAAACGATCACATTGATGATATCTTAGTGAAAATTTCCCAATTTTTTGTCATCTTGTTTCATTTTGCTTAGCATTTTTAAGCTTCGCCAATTCGTTTTCAATCAAATTTTCAACCAGAATTCAAGATATATTTACACTTGCGAAACTTGCCGCTCTTATAATGATCATAGTAACTGGATTTGTACAGATTGGATTTGGTAATTTAATTATATTATTCGTTAAAATTATTTTAACTACTTTTTGTTATCCATAATAATAACAGTCGGTTTTGTTGTGTGATTTTTGTTGAACTATGAGTGGTTTATTCTTGAGATGAAGATTTTATTAGTGTGCAGCACTTCATATGAAGTGGTTGTTTAACATAAACCAAATGGCAACAAGTGTGTTAAGGTAGTCTAAAATAAGAATAATATACTCCTTACAGAATAGTAAGTTTTGTATAAAAGTTTTCCATGAACAAAACTGTACAACTATGTGATATAAGTCAATTTGGTGAATCTTAAAATTCGCAATATTAGTAATCAAGCTTGAGAAAAATAATCTTCCCTGTCTTTTCTGAAGAATACACATAATCAATTGATTGATTGTATATGTATTACATTAAACGTTGTTTTAAAGCAACAACCTTTGAACATTTCATTTCTGTTATCGCTTTTTGATTAGATGACTTTTCTAATAACAGCTCTGAGCACTTTAATTTTTTCGAAGATTTCGATATGAATAGAGTGATTTTTCAATAAATTGTGAATCAGCAAAATAATCCTTCGTTCTACTCACGTCTGTTATCCCTCGTCAAGCACAGGCCTGCAGTCGGTATTTTCCTGTTCTGTGTTCTGTTTTCCAATTTCTTTTAGTAGTTCACCGTGATTTATCTCCTCTAAGCAACTGACTAGGATTTATAATCTCTATGTATTTGTGATTGTAATCACTGTTCATGATATATTTATTTACTTAGTAAAATCATTTAGGTATCTTGCATTGTACTTTATTGCTTAACTTTGTTTAGGTCGTTATGAAGAGCTGAAAGAACCTTTTGTCGATTCAGACTGGAGTCCTGGTAAAGTAGCCAATGCATTTTACAGTGGTTTATTTGCTTATTCTGGCTGGAATTACTTAAATTGTATGATTGAAGAAATGAAGAACCCCAGGAAACATTTGCCCATAGCAATAGTGGTATCATGCTTACTAGTGACTCTAGTTTACACAGCTGCTAATGTAGCCTATGTGACAGTCGTACCAGTTGCAGAGATTTTGACTACAAGAGCTGTGGCTGTGGTAGGTGGAATAGTATTTTCACTGTTGTATTAATGCTTTTAATCAATTTTTCTATAAACCGAGAATATTAATAATGTATTTTCACCGTTCAAGATCACCCCATCTTGGTATCCGATTTCTAAGAAGTTATTGTATAAATGTGAGTAGTTACTTATTTCAAATCCTCAGAAATAGTAATTATTTGTTAAATAGTAATAACAGATCTCAAGTTACGTTGTACTCGAACAAGGTATCTGAATGAAATATTTCCCAAATCAATATATATAATACATGAGTTCTATGTAGTGTGTTATTTGTGTGATAAATATCCTTGCCGTGTTTAGGTTCGTAAATGATTTATGTTCCACCGTAAACCAAAAATTTCCCACAAATATTTCATGAAAGAATAGTTGAGATCATGAGTCAATTGAAGCTAGACCACCATGGAAAACCTGGAAACAGTAGACGGCCGTTTCTTCCTATTGTGGGACTTCTCAGCAAATTAAAATCCATTTACTTAAGATCAGTCTTTATCCAGTTCCCTCAATAGACACCCAAAATTTTCTCGTTTTGAATAATGTTAATCTGTTTTTTAATCATTCCATCAGTATGAAAAACATTACTGAATAATTTGGATTTACTTTTATCCGTTTACTTACAAAAACAGACATTTGCTAATAGAATATACGGAATGTTTTGGTGGATTATGCCAATATTTGTTGCTTGTTCAACGTTTGGTGGTGCCAATGGAACTATATTAACTACATCGAGAATATTTGTTGTCGCTAGTCAGCTTAAACAAATGCCAGCGTTTATCAGTTACTTGCACACGGATCGATTAACACCTATTCCGGCTGTTCTGTTCACTGTGAGTTCCTTGTATAACACTACTTTCGTCGAATATACATATATAATAAAAAAGTATTTCGATCATTACAAATCAGTTAGTTTGTCTTAAAAGTGAACTTTTGATGTCTATTTCGGAACAATGTCAAATATGTTTAAACTGGTTGTAGGATGACATTTAATGATAGTAAGTTTGGGACTGTAATTGGATTGTTTGTGGAGATATGCCTGACAAGTTTATTTTGTAAATAGTTTTTAATGTTATTTGTATTTATTCTGTCAATTTCCCACTGCATGTACATTAATTATTAAATCATTTTACCTGTTGTTTTTAGTAAAATGACCCTGAACACTTTTTCCGGTGTGATACTAACATAGCGTGACACTATTGTGGTTGTTCCCAAATACACTACTACGCACATACCTCTCGTTCTACATTCACTCGTGTTTGCGTTAACCGAAGTCTAAATCAAAGAAAACTACGAATCGCAGGAACAGGTACCCCAGATATTCAAGCAGGCCGCAAGACATATTTCAATTAGTAAATTATGACCAACAATAGACTATACATTTGTTACGAGATAGCGCTAAGGCAAAATAACGTTGACTTATCATTATAAATTGTGATTTACAAGAACTACTATTGTTTAATGTATGTATTGAGAATTGATTCCTTATTTTTAGCTTTTGTTAATTACTCTTTCAGTGTATCGTATCAATAATTTACTTGCTTGCTGGAGATATTTTCACACTTATGAATTATATGGGTTTTGTTCAATGGTTGGCAATTGGTCTTTGTGTTTTGATTGTAGTAATTTTTCGATTTACTCGTCGTAATATTCGACGTCCAGTTAAGGTAAATTAAGATTTTTGAAACAGTTTTGTGGTATTATTCCTTAAGATTCCATGATTATAATGAAAATTTGGTTTTGTGGAGATTGTGATAATTTATTATTTGAATTGATGAGTCAATTGAAGCTAGACCACAGTGGCGTTGGCGCGATTTCATGGATTGGTTGAATTTAGACATTAAAATCGCTAGATGCCGGCTGAATGGTCTAAAGACTGATAAGTGTTGGGTTCGAATCTCGCGGAGCGAGATCGTGGACGCTCACTGCTGAGGATTTTCATTTTACGATGAACTGACATAAAACTAGAAGAATCTTTTTAAAACTGTTACGTTGATAAAAAGTTCGAAGTAAAGCTTCTTAGTCGTTTTTGAGTATTAAAAACCCTTTCTACTACTATCATTTGATTTCATATCTTCAAATATTACTAATAGTACTACTATGTTATAAAACTTTTATTTTTTCATTATTTTTATTTATTACAGGCTCCTATAATATTTGCCATTATCTACTTAGTAGTTACTGCATCTCTCCTAATTTTCTCTTTTTATGGCTCACCTCGAGAATCATGTAGGTCATTTGTTATAAATTATGTTCAATACATTCGTATGTTTACTTTCTGAATGTAGGAATAACAGTTCGTTATATTGTTTAACCATCAATGTGGAGGTTGGATTTGAAACAGCCAACTAAGCAGCCACAATCTCATAAGTGACTACCTTCGAGTTGGTTGGTTGGTTGTTAAGTTTTGAGCTACTGAGTCGAAATGGCGAGAGACGAGATCATAACTTATCGATTACATTCAAGTAGAATCGTGGTATTTAGCCAGCAAATACTAATCTTAGTAAAACAACTGAACTAAACTTTTGCTATTCAGTGGTATAGAAACTGTAGTTCCTTCACAAGACCAAAATATGGCTTGTTTTAGATGTTATGGGTTGTTGTGACGCTTCATTGATGAGGTAGCTCAGAACTAAGAAAAATATAGTTCAGTTTTTCTATGGTTCTTCTTGTCGGTTATTGATATGTCACTTCATGACTTAAATCATGATCGAAATTGAAGTTTTACGGAAAACTACTTAATCTGTATCACTGAAAGATGAAGTAATCGTCTCATTATTTTAGTTAAATGGAACTGATTGCAGGAATGGTTTATTTTCCTAGTATAACAATGATTACATCTCTCTAGTGAATTTTCGATTGTTTTATCCCTTTATAGTATATGGTATTTTGATCATTTTAACCGGTATACCGGTTTATATACTCGGTTGTGCGTGGAGTCCTAAACCGAAATCATTTCAGGAAAAAATGAGTGAGTATTTTTGTCAAGTCACATTTCATATCCCATAATTTAAATATTTTCAGACGCGTTCGGTTTAACTGACTTATCAATTATTTGTTTGTTTAATGAGCTTCGAGTTACACACGTGTCTTATCTGAGGGATAGAGACACTGCCTGGTTTCCCAAACTGAAATAAGTGTAACGAGGTTTGCATATGCAATCTGTTTGTTGGAACGCATATGTTTTAGCCAGTTAACCATCAATCCGGATTCGTAATCTTATACACCCATATAAATGTTTGATTTAATCAAATTGGACAACACTTAGTCAATTTGCCTACAATCACTTCGACGCCATGAACATTTGAGTTAAAATGAAAAGAAATTATGAGGCTTGATTTACGTATAACCTTTGAATAATTCAGTCTTCTTATTAGATCTCCAAATCCAAGTATTGATTTCTAATAATTGTTGTTATTACAGGTATGAAAACCAACATTTTCTGTGTCAACTTCTAATACACATGCTTAATAAGCTCTAGTCCCTAATTATTCGACTTCCATTTTGTTTATTGTGAAAATGTTTTTCAATTGTTAATAAACTAAAAAGGGGCTTTTTCTCAAGTCAAATGATAATATTCGTTCTTTAAATGAATGACACATGATGTTTGGCAATAATAACAAAGATAAGATTGATCAGAACAGTGATAAATACAGTTAGGACAATAGGTTTCAATACAATAACCCAATAGTAAAATGATATGTCAGAAGGGGTTTTGTGGATATTACAGTATTTTCAATAGATGAGATCATGAGTGATGAGACCGATGGGTCCTGGGTTTCCAATCTGGCGATGCGGAGTCATAGATGCGCACTGCTGAAGGGTCCCACAATATGGCGAAACGGCCGTCCAGAATTTCCAGGTTTTCCATGGTGGTCTAGCTTCAATTGACTTGTGATCTCAACTATTATATCTACTATAATATCGACAAAAAGCCCCTTTTTATATTATTCAACATATGCTCACTAATGACTGGCTTCAAGAGGTATTTACTGATCTAACTACGGACGTTAGAATAAAATGCGTAAGAAGAAGAAGGCTGATTTCATTACCGATTCAGTTAACAATAGTTTGTAACAAGGTACAGGAATAGCTTTTTAATGCATTACAAACGGTAAGAAATTAAATATGTTATATGTACAGCTTAGTTTCTTAATATACTGCGTATAACTTGAGCACGCGAATGCTAGAACCCTCCAAAACGCAAATAAGAAAACAGAAAAAGACTGTAAAAAGTTCTTGTTAGGTAAGAATCAAAATATACGGGAAATCACAGGTATTCACAGATGTTAGCATTTGTTAAATCGACATTTTAATTCAACCAGTCCGCAGAGATGCATAATATGCTATTGACCAATAGTCGCATGCCACGTTGAAGTTCTAAAAAGCTCCATTGCGTTCTGCTTGGACGGAACATTTCGGCACGTGTAGGGCCTATGGAGGATCCGTCGTGGTTCTCGGAAGCCGTCCCAACAAAATCTTCATATAACTTCCATTTTTCCCAACAAGTTAATGTGTAATTGACCTGATAAAAACTATCATATGAGATAAAATCAATTCAAAGTTGTTGAAATGATTCGATGATGATTGAACTAAACAAACTTCCTTACGATTAGCTAAATTCAACAACATCATCGAATTAGTTGTAGATTTTGTTGATATTCTCCTTCTTCTTTGTTTGTTTGTTTGTTTGTTTTTATTTTCAATCTTTTGTTTATTTTTCCAGTAAACATCACGATTGGATTACAAAAACTTTTCCGTATTGTACCATCCAGTTGAAGATAAAAGATGAAGCATAGGATTATTGTGTATTGTTGTTAAACAGTCATTTTGTTGTGCTACACTAGCACTTATTGTATAAAGTCACCGTATGCAAAAAGATCATGTAGCCTATTCATCCATCTAGAGCTTTCTGATTTTGATTAAATGCGATAAACGTTGATTTCCGATGTTCGGTTGCTTCTTTTCAATTGCAATACTTTTTGTACATTTTGTCTAATTTATGATTGAATTTTCTTTCTGATCATTCTATTCACTTTATTTTTTTCATTTGAATTTTTATATTTTCGAGATTATTTTCCTAAACTTTTCTTGTGACTCGACGGATTACGTGTAATGGAGAGTTTCGGGCATTGCTAATTGACTACACAACTTACTTGCTTACTTACGCATGTTACTCCCAATGGAGCACATAGGCTGCCGACCACAATATACTACACAAAGTTTAAATGATTTGATTCTATATCTCTTTGTATTTTTCATGATAATTGAGTAAACGAAATATATATATGTAAATTGTATGCAAACCATTGGTTTTCTTTATTAAATCTATGATGATTTGTATGATATTTGTAATGTAATGTCTGTGTTATACTGTCCATGTTATATTTCCATTCAAATGTAGTTTTGATAAAACACACTATCTTAAGCTATTATTATTATTATTATTATTAATGTGATCAACTGTGATTGTAATATGGCTCTGTTGAATGTTTGATTAGTCGACTAGGAGTTGTGTTATGTTCATTGTTTGAAGCAAACATTTACTTGGTCGACGAGCTTGTGAAGAAGTTTCACTCAAATTGGCCTATATGACTAAAGCAATAGTGAAGTAAAAATTGATTCAATCACTTATTTCCTGAGATATATAAAAAAGACTGTAAGTAGGTGGACAACCGAGAATTGATAACCGCCACTATACCTCTAATAACACTGAAGATCACTGTATTTATAATTAATAGCCCACTTCAATTCCTATTATTACTCCTACGTTGACCTTCACCTCTAAACTTCCTCTTACTGCTTCCTTCTCAAGTGTCATCATGGTCAACGCTGTCCCACGTATACTGAAAAGTCGCTCCAAACTACATATTGGAGCCTTCAACATATGCACCCTATGTCAAACCAGTCAACTGGCTAAAACCTTGGAATCTAGTACGATTAATGCATGCTGTGTCTCTGGAACGCGCATATAGGATCCTGTTGTGATTATTCACTTGACCTCACCACTCCAAAAGCGAGGAGATCATGAGATACACCCTCCGTTTATCTGTTGATCCTATGGCTAGTTCTCGTGGACTGACAGATATAGGCATAGCATTAAGTACGAAGGTAGAACAAGCACTACTAGAATGGATCCTTGTTAAAGGTCGCCAATGTGCTTCGTAAGAACTCGGAAGGACAGGGTCACACAACGTTGCTTTTTCGTCGTTTCTACTTGCGGTCCCTCTGACTGCAGCCTGGATGAAGTTCAAGATGAATTTTACGAAAAGCTTCCTGAACGTCCTGAAAAAGCTACACACTCAGACATAGTACATGTAACAAGTGACTTTAGTGCCCAAGTAGATTGCTTGAATAAAACAGAAGAACATTTAGGTGGGTATTATGGTATTCCGGCTCAGTGAACAGATAATGGTGATCGTCTGCTGCAACTGTGCTCAGACAATCGTTTATTTCTAACAAGCGCTAATTTTAAACATAAGGAGAGACGTCGTCTAACATGGCGACCCGCTGCAGCAAACCATTGATGGACTCTAATAGATCATATCCTAACGGTTACCGTTGGAGAAGCTAGATAGAATACTTCCCCTCGTTGTGAAATACACATTTAGACTCTGATCATGCTCTAATACGAGCACGCATTTGCTTGTACCCATTGGCGCAGGAAAGCCACATTAAGAACACCCATTGGTGTTGAATTCAGGGGATCATGGTAGATCAGTTGATGGTGTTTTAAATCTCCATCGACTAAGATGGTTGGGCCACGTATTACGCATGACCAACCACCGATTACCACGACACGCAATGCTGAGCAGTGTTAGAGACGGTTGCAAGAAAGCTAGTGGCAGCCGTACCAAAGCGTGGCATCAGTTCATAGAGTCACTAACTTCTGGTCTGAGCCATGTTGGTAGACGCAGACATTTTGGTTAGGGTCCACGTGACTATCGAAATCAATAGTTGGTGACTCTGTGTGACATGGCTCAGTATCGATCAAAGTGGTGTATGTGTATACACTCTTTGTCTTCCCTTAAACCGTGAGATCGAAATTGGGTTATAACTTTCTTTTTACGAACTAGTTCTTTGTTCCTTTATCATACCCTTTGGTGTTCATCTTGTTGTACTAGTGAGGTATACCAACTTGTACCGATACATATATAAGTCTGGTCTTTCGTTGTAGCTGACTGACTGACCAGCTTTCACTTGAAGAGGAGATTAGAAGATGGAAGTAGATTGAATATACATTGTGAAAATCATCAAACTGCATCACGAAGCAAGAGATAACTTGGAATCGTGAAGGGGTATGCATTCGTGTGGTTCACATTTGTGTTTTTTTTAATATAATAGACACCTCCTTTGGTTATATATCAGAGATAAACTCGCGACTTACCAATAACGACCTCTGTAAAACTTTGGAGTTTATTGAGGAATGTATTATTATTTTGGAAAACGATTTAAGGAAGTCGTTAAATTTGTAGTTCACATTGTGAACGAACTTCATTCAGAAAATCATTGAAAACATTTCAACAAACAACTGATTTGTACCAATATGGACGATTAAAGAATGTGCACTACAAACAAAACAAATGTTCTATGCTCTCTGACTTTTAATAGTCTTTTGGCAAAGGTAATTTCATAATATAAATTATTTTTATTTACCAATTGTTATTATGGTTGTATCTCTATTTAAACAATATTATGTTTCAAGAGATAACTTCTTGCATAAGTCAACAACAATATTCACTAAATATCTTTCTACAGTAAAATAAAATAAAATAGTAAAAACCAGCATATAAATGACAGATCAACTGAATCACATTTGTTTTTCTATGAAATTCTTTTATAAAGAATTTTGTTGGCATCGTAACTAATATTCTAAGTAAAACCTTCATTTGATATATATATATATATATATATATATATATATATATAATTTCAATAATATGCATAGTATTACGCCATTGATAAACAGTAAACGTTGTCTGAAGAGAACCGCTAAAGGTATTGAGGCAGTTAATTAGTGAATAATAATAATAATAATAATAATGATAATAATAATAATAATAGAAATTATTAAAGATTGTTGACTGATGGTTTAGTAGTTATGTATGACCTAGAATACAAAATTATAACAAAATCGGCGCTGTGTCATTATTAGGCATAAATTTACAAAGATAAAACATGACCAACGGAAGTTGTGTCATTATTTAATAAATACTATTGAATCGTGCCAAATATCAGTATAATATTGAATTTTCTAGTTAAGTAAGATAACATAAAAGAAAGTTTTGTATTTAGTTAAAAAGAACTACTGACAAAAACTGAATTAAATTGGACATTTATTTTGTGCTAAACATTGATTCAAGCTATCAGAGAAATAAGATTTCAATTAGGTGATAGTCTATTATAGATGTTACAGAGAATATGTCATTTAAATTTGATGAAGAAGTGAAAAATAACTCGAAAATTTTTGATGAATAATTTGGTTAGTGTGTGAATTTGAACGATTGACCGATGAAACAGTTGATGTGATATCATCTCATATTCTGTGGTATTAAATGCCCTGATACTACGGTCGAAGGTGGGGATAGTTCACTCTACCTCTTGAAATGCTCTCACATGGCCGCGTGTATACAGTCACTGCCACAGAAGTCCTACTAACTGCCTTCTTGCAGAGGGGTTGTTGGATACGAAAGGTCCATCTAAAGGTGTTTGAAAACCCTGATTCCAAACCTATGGTGTACATGGGCTCCAGTATCCTGAAGGAATAAATGTTGTATGAACCAATTCCGGTCACCGGCTACTATGAGACTGCATCTCCTTACGTTTTTCCACTGCCTGTGGGTCAGACCTTTAGGTCGAAGACTCGGGGTGTGACTCCCTTTTGAAAACCATCTGCTCTGGTCTGGGAATCCGTGAAGTGTTCTAGCCCTCACACAAATCAAGTGGTTTGTATAGCGCATATGTATTTGGTGCTTCTTTGTACCAATATTTATGTGTTCAAATAAATAAATACACTAACATATTTTGTAAGTAGATCACTTCCTCTCTCAGTCAATTCTTGTGTTTTTCACTGGATCTGTTACATTGATTTTTAATATCAGTTTGTTGATATATGTGAAGTAAAATACATAATTTTATCGCTCATGTAAATAATTTGACCTGAGTTGTGTTATTCAAAACATGTAATTATTATTCTAGACTAGCTTTTCAAGATAATCTTTAAACATAGAGATTATCTTTGAAAATAACTTCGTGAATATGAAATTGATGCATCTTGATTACTTAGTCATTGAATGTTCCAGTGTCTAGTTGTGCTATTATAGTCAGTGTGATCTCTTGCTATTGGAAAACATTGATAATTTCTGTATTGGTTCACAAACTGTTTTTGAATTTTCAGTTATTTCGGATTAAGATGCATGTCCGTATTACAAAAGTAAGTTAACACTCCTAAGACGCATCTTGCAGACATAAAATTTCGAGTTAATGTTCTATAACGTAGATCAAAGATATGAATTGCATCAAGAAATGTTAAGATTCTTGACTGATATGACGATTTCTGAGAAGCTAAATGATAATTGGACCTTCACTGGTTATGGACCACTAACAATATACTGGAGGTCAAAATGATTCCTCACTCATTGAAACTTTTCAAAGATAGATCGCTTCATCTGAACATATAACGTAGTTGATTCGTACTACTTGTGATTAAACCCTCATTCAAAGACTAAATGATTTCGGGCCAGACAGTGAAATCAATAGGTCTACTTTTCGAATCATTTCTCTCCCCTTTCAGTATATACCCGAAGGTGGTTGGTACTATTATTGAAAAACTCAAAGAAACAAAACTATTCCAACTTAAATATAGCTTGCTATTTACAAATGACAATAGTATACATCCTCACAGAGTTAATTTTATTGTTTTGGTCATTTGTGACTCAGCAAGATTAAGTTTTAAATTCACATGAGTTTATTTTAGTCAAAGTAATCTCAAAGAGCATCGTTTTTACGAAAGTAATCTATCATCTCTACTTTTTGAGTAACTTCATCTGTAGCACTTCTAAAGTTACAGACGGTACCAAAGCTGGGTAAAGGAGGATACTTGGACATGAGGTCAACAACCCCATCTCGTAGAAAACAATCTTGCTTAAACATATCAATCACAATAAACAAATCAAAACATTTGAACTCTTTCCTGACACTTGAAAGATCTTCATTTAAAAGAATTATGACGCCTCATGATGACAGCCGAGATTCTTCAGAAGTCACAACGCCGATGTCCCCTCTAACAATCAGAACGACAATTCATACAGGTGCAAGGAATGTCCCCACAATGTGTGAGACTGTGAAGATCAACCGAACGGTTACCGAAATCAGCAGATACAACTTGACAGTATTCGAAA